GGGCTCTGGCTGGGCCTGGCGGCGGCGGTGGCGGCAACGGCGGCGGCGGCGCGGTGGCTGGGCTGGTGGAGCGGCCGCGCCGGCCTTCGCCTTTTCGTTCCCGAGGAGCTGGCCCGCTACCGCGGCGGCGCCGGGGACCCGGGCCTTTACTTGGCGTTGCTCGGGCGCGTCTACGACGTGTCCCCCGGCCGGAGGCACTACGAGCCTGGGGCCCACTATAGCGGCTTCGCAGGTATCAGCGAGGCGGCTCACGCCTTTTTCTGCTGCGACGCGGGCCCGTAGCCGCCTCTGCGCCGTTCGCTCGTGCACTCGTTCGTTCGTTCGTTCGTTCGTTCATCCATTCCCCGGCCTTTGTGTCCCCACGTTCCTCACACTGGTGCGGGGGCCGTGCTCCGCTGCATCGTCGCTCTGGTCTCTTTGGTCCGGTCGGGACCGTGGCCGACTGTCACCAGCCTGTACCTACGCCCCACCCCCACCCCCGTCTGTCCCATCCGTTCTTAGCGGCGTAGGTTCGAGAAGCAGGCCTCCTGCCTCTGCAGTTGCCTACCGGCCGCAGCCTCCGAACACCTGCTTTGTGCCACACTGCGTGGCTCAGGGCAGAGATGAGTGGGACCTGTCCCTGCCCTCAGAGTTCCCCGACCGATTCCAGCCGCCTCCTATCCAAAGGAACCTTTCTTTGCTCCCACTCCAGGTTTCCCCTGAAAATAGTAAGTTGTTCTCGCTTCTAGTACAGGTGCGCTCGTCTCCGTTAAAGGTTATGAGGTAGGAACGCACGGAACGGGTCTGCTCAGCTTCACAGCTCTTCAACAGAGCTGCGTATACGTTAGGCCTGGAACGTTTGTCGGATGAAATGTATTGTTTTATAGTTGAGGGGATTGACGAATTTGCCTGAAGCCCCCACAACTAAGTGCTGACAGGCCTTGGGCCAGGATCTCCAGCCTCTTTCTTTGAGAGATGTTGTGCCCCCAGCCCAGAGGGATAACCGCCTCCCAGATTAAGGAGGAGAAAAAATGCGGAGCTTAAGGCCACTGACGGCTGGTATTAAGTAAGCATTTCCATTTGTCATAGTCTTGGGGAATGGGGAAGCCGCGTCTGGTGCTTAGATACAAGTGACTTCCGTGTCTCTAGGGAGAACTCCGGAACCGGAAGCATCCACAGAGCAGGAATTGGGGTCAGTCGGTGTTGCCAGGCAGGGAAGGGACTTCCCCAGAGCCGCCCCGTGACCTAGAAGCAGAGCTGGTACTGGAGTCAGGGTTCACTTGCTGTCAGGGGAGGGGCAGTTGGTGGCGCCCGGCCCCGTCACACCCCTGTTGCAGCTGCCCTGGTGGGAAGCACAAGTGTGAGCATAGACCCTTTCGTCTCTGGGGTGATTTTCCCCTTGCAATGTGTCTACAGTCTGCTGAGTTCATTTGTGCCCGTTACTCGGCCAACGTCCCTTCCTTGACCACTACTGTGCAGCCCGCCTTGTGCCGGGTGCCGAGGAATCAAATTAACTTAACGTTCCCCACCACCCACACAGTCTAGGAGGGTCTAGCAGATATGTTCCTTTATTCATTTGTTCGTTCAGTCAATATTTTTATTATGTGAAGATATAATCACATAATACAAAATCCACCCTTTTACACCATACAACTCAGTAGTTTTTAATTTTTTTTTTAATATTAACCGACTGAGCCCCCCAGGCACTCGTAGTTTTTAATATAGTCAGAAAGCTGTGCAAACATCTTCCCGATCTAATTCCAGACATTTTTATTCCCCCCAAAGGAAACCCCCATATCCACTGGCAGTCCCCACTCCTTCTACCCCCCAGCCTCTGGCAACCACTGTCTACTTTCTGTGTGGACATTTCGCATAAGCGGAATCATACGCATGGCCTTTTGTGTCTGGCTTCCTTCACTTAGCACAGTGTTTTCAAAGTTCAGCCTGTATCGTCATGTATCAGTACTGCATTCTGCTTTATGACCAAATGATACTCCATTTTATGTATATGTGTATACCACATGTTGTTTATTTGTTCATAATTTGTTGCACGTTTGGGTTTCCGTTTTTTGCCTGTTATGAAGCGCACTGCTGTGAACATACGTGGACACACTCGTGTGGACATGTTTTCAGTTCTCTTGGGTATATACCTGAGAGTAAAGTTCCTGGGTCATGTGGTGACTCTTGTGTTTCACGGTTTGAGAAACTGCCACATTGTTTTCTCAAGTGGCTATATTCCCACCGCTGGTGTATTAGACTTCCAGTTTTTCCACATTCTCGCCAAATTTCTTTTTTATTGTCTTTTTTTTTTTTATTATAGTCAGTGGCTTTGATGTCATAGTTCATCGTAGTTTTCTTTGCATTTCCTGAATAACTAAAGGCGTCAAACATCTTTTTCTGTGCTTGCTGACCATTTGTTTATTTTCATGGAGAAATGTCTGCTCAAATCCTTTGCCCATTTTTTAATTGAGTTTTTTTTCTTACTGAGTTGTGAGAGTTCTTTATAAACCCTGGATACTAGACCCTTATCAGACCATGATTTGCAGATATTTTCTCCTATGTCATGGGTTGGCTTTTCATTTCTTGATGGTTTACTTTAATGCACAAAATTTTAAATTTTTGATCAAGTCTAGTCCGTTTATTTTTTGGTAGCTTGTGCCTTTTGTGTCTCATCTAAGTAACCATCACCTTATCCAAGATCACAAAGATTTATACCTATGTTTTCTTCTAAGAGTTTATACTTTAGCCCGTATATTCAGGTCCTTGCTACGTTTTGAGTTAACTTTATATATGATGTGTTCTTTTGCATCTCGCTAGCCAGTTGTCCAAGCACCATTTGTTGAAAAGATTCTTCTTTCCCCTGGGGCACTTGGGTGGTTCAGTCCGTTAAGTATCCTCTTGATTACAGCTTAGATAACGATCTCACAGCCCTGAGGTCTAGGCTCCAGGCTAGGGTTCTCTCTCTCTCTCCTTGGCCCCTCTCCTGGGTGCGTGCACACAGGCTTTCTCTAACCAAATAAATAAATAAATAAACATTAAAAAAATAACTTATTTCCTCCCTTGAATTATTGAAAATAATTATTGATAACTGACTTATTGAAAATTGATTATAAATGCATGGGTTTCAGATAGCCAATATTTATTGATAATTACTAAAGATTAGGCCCTACCAGACACTGGGGAATCAATCCTGAGTTTGGTATGTTCTCTTTCCTGATAAAACTTGCAGACTAGTAGAAAAGACAGACATTAAATAGTTATTACGTAAGCAACTAATTATTTTTGTGACGATGTTAAAGGGAAAACACACTTGTATTACCAGAGGCCGTAACCTAACAGGGGGAGGAGAGAGAGGAAGAGAGCACAGTGGGCAAGGCAGGATTGGTGGCTGCCAGTGTAGCGCCCTGAGTACTGTGTTAAGGAATCTGGATATAGTTCTAGAGTAAAAGGAAGCCGCTGAGGATTTTTTTTTTTCAATTTTTTAAAGTTTGTTTATTTTGAGAGACCATGAGCGGGAGTGGGGCAGAGACAGAATCCCAAGCAGGCCCTGCATTGTCAGCGCTGAGCCCGATATGGGGCTTGATCCCAGGAACCGTGAGATCACGACCTGAGCTAAAATCAAGAGGCAGACGCTCCACCGACTGAGCCACCCAGGTGCCCCAGTAGCCCCTGAGGGTTTTTTTTTTATTTTTTATTTTTCAACGTTTATTTGTTTTTGGGACAGAGAGACAGAGCATGAACGGGGGAGGGGCAGAGAGAGAGGGAGACACAGAATCGGAAACAGGCTCCAGGCTCTGAGCCATCAGCCCAGAGCCCCTGAGGGTTTTTAATCAAGAGAATGACATCGGTTCATGTTTAAAATACCAGTGTAAATGATGTACGAAAAATAGTAGGGAAGGAACAAACGTAGGAAGAGCTGCTAGGGGTTTACTGTAGTAGTTCGGATGAGCGACAGTGGCCACTTGGGCCAGCTTAGTGGCACACAGAGAAAGACACACGGATAGAAGAACCACTTAGGAAGACACTCAAGGGGGCGCCTGGGTGGCTCGGTTGAGCGTCCGACTTCGGCTCAGGCCATGATCTCACAGTTCGTGGGTTCGAGTCCCGCATCGGGCTCTGTGTGGACAGCTCAGAGCCCGGAGCCTGCTTCGGATTCTGTGTCTCCCTCTCTCTCTGCCCCTCCCCCACTCACACTCTGTCTCTCTCTCTTTCAAAAATAAACAAACATTTAAAAAAAATTAAAAAAAAAAAAAAGGAAGACACTCAAGGACGTGAGGGATAAAGGAGGTGTTGCAGACTGCATTTCTGCACTGAGGAACTGTTTGACATTTACCGAGATAGGAAACACTCGAATGGCTGCAGGTTTCCTGGGGTGGGGGGTACTCGTTGGTGTAGTGTGGACATCTGAACTCGTGACACTTGTAAAACATCTAAGGGGCATTGAGTAGACAATTGGATACACCGGTCTAGGGCTGAGGAGAAGTCTGGCAATCCTTGGCGTAGAGGTGGTTGTGAAACCACAGGAGTGGACAGCAGAGGAGGCGGCAAGAATTGATCCCTAAGGCTGGTAGGAAATAAGCTAGAGAGGGAGGAGGAAGGCCAGGAATGTGGTGTCACGGAAGCCAGAAGACACGTTAATGCTGCTGAAGGTAAACAGAGAAGATGATAAGCGCCAAAATACGTGTCCAAGATCCGGGAGCATGTGTCCCAGAGGAGGGGAGACGAGCTTTTCTTGGAGATGCAGAGTGGGGGTTGTCAGGTGTTTCTCCCAAGATAGGTTCTGGAGTCGCTGAAGTGCCAGTGATGTGCCGGTGAATCTATGTGGTCCCCTCTCTCCTGCAGGCCGAGACGCGTCCAGGGCGTTTGTGACAGGGGACCACTCTGCAGCAGGCCTGGTGGACGATGTGTCCGACTTGTCATTTTCAGAGCTGCTGACGCTTCAAAACTGGCTGTCGTTCTACGAGAAGAACTACGAGTTCGTTGGTAGGTATTCCACAGGCCATTTCCGTAGATTCTCTTCAGCGGGCTTGCAGTTTTGTAAAGGGTTGGAGTTCAGGCGACTGGACTCGAGGTTAAAATCTGTAAAATACCCATGGATCTTTCACCTTAAACTCTGGTGGTTACTGTGGCAATGCGTCCCAGAAGGACGTGGCTGGGACACGGGTTTCCCTCTCTCTTAATCTTGGGAGAAGATGGCACAGCCATTCAGTTGGGCTTCTGTTTGCCCCGGAGCTAGTGACTGCAGCCGGCTCCAGGTGCCTCGCCGTGCCCCAGGCGTCGGGCTTCAGCACCCCGTCCGTCCGTCAGGAAGGCTTGAAGCCTCAGTTTGTGTTCCATTTTGACAAACACCGTTTTATTTTGTTCTGTAAGGAGACCAACATTAGTCTGTGTCCATCCTGAAGGACCCGTCTCCCGGGTAGAGGTCAGGCTAATCCCACGTTTGTTAAAGCCGGTCACGGGGGCACTGCACTTGCTACTTGTGATGCTTGAGGGAATCACCTTTTAAACAGACAACCAATGGTGTCCTAAAGAAATGTCAGACTCTAACCACTAGATGGCTTTGTAAACACTGGGCATTGGGGGGTTGGGCTCTTTTCATCCCCTGCAGCCCTGACCTCTCACTGTAACCCACCTTGGACGCAGCTGAGCTCCTGAGGGACATCGGTGTCACCTCACCACCGGGACGGGTCTCAGTTGGAGGCATTCTTTCTCTGCCCCTAATACCTCTGAATATCTGCTCTGTCATTACTACCCGGGTCACCTCTTCTGAGAACCTTGCCATCTGTACTAACTCCTCTGCTCCCTCCACAGCTGACTGATCAGGCCTTTCTTCATACCATCTACGTTCTTTCTGTTTCCGGTCCCCACCCCCACGCTCTTGGTGGGCTCTTGTCCTCCCAGCCCGCAGACCCCTTCTTTATTGTCACCCAGTCTGCCCCGGGTCATTCCCGACGCCACAACCGTGTCTGGCCTCTGTGCCACTGAAGGAACTGACCTCTCTGCAGACCTTCAAGAGGCTGGTTGAAACGTTTTGGTTAATAAGGACAAGAAATCTTAACACAAAACGATAAAGACAGAGCTCTGAGAGTGGGCAAAGGGTGCCAGAGCAAACACGTCATCCTGACATTTGGGGAGCAAACTGATGTGTTTGTGCACATGAGCGAACCAGCCTTGTCTGAAGAGCGTTAGTGTGCGTGTTGAGGGCAGGGGAGGGATGTGGTCTCGAGAGGCTTCAGACAGATTTTAGCTACAGTCCGCGTCCATCTGAATACCTACGATGGATAAGCTGTGCTCCGTCCTGGTGGGAGCTGGGCCAGCGATGAGTTGGTGCAGCTCCTGTGCTGTTAGCTCGCTTGATGGGCCATGGGCCGTGTTAGGCTCTTTAGGGGCCCAGAAACCCTCAGGCCACGTCAGAGGATGAAGGTTTATTCTGTGCTGCGCGCACGGAAGTGAAGACGGGAAGCCACCTTGGCAGCCACGTGGCCAAGCTGCACGAGCAGATGAGATCTCTTTTCTTTGTGTTCTGGATACAGCACTGGTGTGGAGACCCAGCCGGTGGTGACCACCATTCCCAGGACACGGCTCCCACAAGTCTTTCTCTGTTGCCTCTATTACTGTTGCCCTCTGTTGGGGTCTCACTTCTAAAACCCACCACAACGGGCTGGTCGCCTTGCACGGAGACCCTCTAGGAGAAAGTTTTCTGCTAGGCCGACTCCTAGGCTGCAAGCCTGGTCCCGACCCTTCGTTTGTTCTAGTAAGCGTTTAAGATGAACGCTCCCTATGAAGCTGTTGTGAGTGCTGGGGTTTCACCTGTGGGAGAGACATGCCGTAATTAAGGAAACCGATGACGCGTTTCCAGATAGGGCTGTGTACGACTAAAACCAGTGTGATGGGGGAGGGGCCTGTGGCACCTTTAGAACAGACGGTCAGGGAGGCCTCTAGGAGGGGCTGGGAGTGAGGGGCAGTCAGACTGAGGTCTGGAGAGAGAACATTCTAGGCGGAGCAAACGGCGGTGCCGAGGCACGGTCCGCGAAGAGAAAGAAGCCCGTGTGCCGGAGCCTGCAGCACATGAGGGGGGAAGGGACGGCTGTAGCCTTGGAGGCCTTGACAAGAAGTCTGTGTTTGATCCACGTGCTCTCGGAAGCCACTGGAGGGCCAAACCAGGCATGGAGATGACAGGACGTGACTCGTGTTTTATGAAGATGGCTCAGTTGCTTTGTGCAGGAAGAAAAGTCGGGAGGCATGGACCGAAGTGGACGGAGCAGGTGGGAGGCCGCCGCTGGGGTCCACGGTTCGGGTGAGGCTGGGGGCAGTGGAAACGGGACGGGCAGAATCGCCGTGTCTTTTAGAGGTCGGACACGAGCAGCGGGAAGTACGTGCTGTATTGGAACGGGGTGGCGGCTCCTAAGCCAGGTCACAAAAGTGACGTGAACAGAACCGAAGTCGGGCTGAGTGGACCCGAGGGGTGGCCCGAACGCTGGGCACGCAGCACACAGCTGCCACTGGAGTCCGGGCACAGCGGGGGCAGGTCATCCCTTTGAGAGTACTTTCTGCTGCTTGTCCTTGGTGCAGGACAGCGGGGAGAAAGACCCTGCCCCGAAGGACAACTGACTGCTCGGGCTCAGGCCCACAGGCCCACGCACCACTCGCTGGCTCTTCTGAAAGAATCTAAAAGTGCACCAAGGACTGAGACCGAGCGGGGAGAGGGTGGTGGGTGGAGAACGTGAGCCCTAGCTTCATGGGCCCCCCCAGCCACTGAGCCTCCCGTGTCTCTTCTGGGAGTGGGGACCCCAGCTCCTTTCCCATAAGTGCTTAAGAGGATTCGCAGAACGGTGGCAGTGTGAGCACAGCACCCGACACGGAGTAAATGCTCAATAAATGACTTATTCGTAGTTCTGCCGGACAAAATAATTGAACGTGGGGAAGAACCGAGCCACAGAAACGTTACCTGACCAGCCAGCCGCTTGCCTGACAGGCGCCTCGAGCACTGCGGGGCACGGAAGGGTGGGTCCCTCGCAGCGCCGCCCTCGGAGAAGCGGCGTCAGCACGTGAGGCGAAGCCAACGGCCTCCGTGCTGGAGGCGTCCGCAGCTAGGGCAGGGGTCTCACCAGACACTAAGGAGTTCTCAGTCCGCAGCCCAGAAACCCTGGGGACTTGCACTGCACCACGGAGGTGAGGCGTTTACTCGTGCGTCCCTCCCGCGTGACTCTGACCTCCACTCTCCCGTCACCGCAGGAAGGGTGATAGGAAGGTTCTACGGAGAGGATGGCCTCCCGACCCCAGAACTGGCCCAGGTGGAAGCCGTGATCACCCGGGGCGCGGAGGCAGGCCGGCGGGCGCTGGAGGAGAAACGCAAGTTCCCGCCGTGCAACGCCGAGTGGAGCTCCAGCAGGGGCAGCCGGCTCTGGTGCTCCCCGGAGAGGTAAGCAGGCTCCCCTCGTGCCCTCTCCGCCTCCCTCCAGGTCGTCCTGCTGGGACTCGGTGAAGCCGTAACCCAGCTGTTCCCCCAGGGGGACTTTTCAAAGTCCACACGCTCTGGGTAGCGATCCTCGATGCTGGCTCCGTGCTGGAGCCTCCTGAGGACCGACATCACTGACAGTGAGGGACGGTTGGGACCTGGGCCTGTGTTCTGTTTGAGCTCCCCAGACACCCTGGCCTGGGCGTGGGAAGGCCCGAGTGCCATTGCTCGCTTTGGCCTGTCGACCCATCCAAGCGAGGGCCTCCCTCCGTTTCCTCCGCACACATCACTCCTGCCTACAGGAGACAGGGGTGAAGCGGTGGGGGACGGCCCCTGGCGGCAATGACCTGAGATGCCGTCTTAAAGACGCTACAACCTCTGAGTGACTCGAGGAAGTGCGGCCTTTCCCGCAGGAATAACGTGAGGTGAGCCCGCTTCGGGTAGATGCCGCGGGGATTATCCCGGGTTGTTTGAGGAGCAGGAGACAAAACGTCTTTTTCTGCTCTGATTATCAGGCCAGCCTGGACCTAAATGCACTTGCAGCCATCAGCCCCCTCGGCTGCGGTGCGGGAGAGGCATCCCCCACGCACCCAGCCTCAAGGGCCTCCCAGTAGGAGCCCAGCTCTCCCTGGGAAGGGTAGGGAAGCCACTTCCCGGAGTGCTAACCGTGTAGATTCCCTCTCTTCTGCGGGAAGAGGCCTTCTTGCCCTGCTTATGGCCGACTCCTTGTGCAGAGAGCAGACAGCCAAAGCCACCCGCTTACCCTGGGCCCGGGCCGGCTCAGTTCACCGGAGGCAGAGGCACCGTGGCCAAAGGAAAGTTCCCGCCATCCAGTTCTGAAGAGACACGGCCTGCCCACCTGAGGGGACAGGCTGGGACACAGGAGCCCGAACGCAGGGGTCCCAGAGAGCAGTGGTCCCCTGGGAGGCTGCCTCCCCCGCCCAGCCCTGTCTTTGTGGCCCCTTCTTGCCCTAGTGCCTTCCCCACGCCTGTGCCTCGGCCCCATCTGTTCATATAGGGACTGGGTGTGAAGTAAGGGTCCCTGGGAGGAAGGAGGGCATCTCCGAGCCCTGACAGCCTGTTCTTGGGGGAGCCACTAGCAGGGTGGTTTCTAACCAGGTCCTGGTCCCAGACACTGGGACGTACACGGGGCACCAGGTCCAGACTCTCACCTTCCTTGTGAGCCCACGGGGACCGGCCCACGCTGGGCCAGAGCGCAATGCTCCACCTCTGAAGCCCGGTGACACCTAGGACGGGGCCTCTCGCAGGGTGTGTAGCCTTGGGTCGTAGCCTCAGTTGCCCACCTTCGGCCATGAGCCTCAGACCCTAAGATGGAGACACGGCCTTATGCTAGGATTGCAGCGGGGAGTGGAGAAGAGAATCAGGTCCAGACACTGCTTCTGGAAAGTTCCCAGGCCAGTGGGGGAACACCTGCCCCTGGGAAGGCACGGGACCGGATGGCGGACTCTGCCCACGGCAGGGGATGCTGGAGGAACTGGGAGAGTGTGAAGGGCCGGGGGACACAGGCTGCAGACCACCACCTTGGGAAGACGCCACATCACTCCTCCTTCCCCCTCCGCAGAGATCCCGCATTCACGCTAAGAGTCCCCTGTCCTTCTGTCCCTAGCGGAGGTGTGAGCAGAGACTGGACCGGTGTCCCCAGGAAGCTGTATAAGCCAGGTGCCAAGGAGCCCCACTGTGTGTGCGTGAGAACCAGCGGACCCCCCAGCGACCAGGCTCAGGGCCTCCCTGTGCACACAAACCGTGGCGACTTGGATCACCCGAACCTGGAGGAGTATGCAGGCTGCCCCCCACTGGCCGTCACCTGCTCCTTCCCACCGGGCTAATCACAGACAGCCCTGCCTGCCGCACTCACTCGTGGCTCCCGACACGAAGCGGAGCGCCTGGAAGCATCTGCCCACACTTCTGTGCCTGGGACCCGGCGTGGCGGCCCACTCGCCTGTCCGTGCCACTTCTCCCCCAGACCCACCTGCCGCCTTCGTCAGAGCCCTCAGAGGCCAGCCAACCTCAAAACTAATCGGACTGCCAGGCCAGGAAACAGGCTCTGGGCTCCAACAGCATCCTTCCCCGCGGTCGGTGAGGGCGCTGGGGGCACTGCAGAAGAGGGGACATATCTTCCCTTTGTGACTCAGACAGGCAGACAGGTCCAGAGAAGCCACGTAAATTAACACGTCAGCATAACTCCCAGTGTTCCCCACTGGTTAGGCTTGTGACCCCTGACTCTTAACCACTTTTTGTATGTCTGAGACCCCTGCCCGGAGCCACGGCCACAAGTAGTTGGTCTGAGCCCAGTCAGTACCACGAGACAGGACAATAAAACCAGGGAGGCTGGTTCTGGAAGTGGATGGGCTTTTGCTCATACGGAGGCAGTAAATCCAGAGGCCTCTGAACAAAGCAACAATTTGAAGGGAGGATATTCTCTTTTAAACGCTTAGGTGTGGGAGACGCCCACACCGTAAAAAGTGGTTTCCCACCCCGGACGCCTTTCCCAGGGGGGTTGTGCGTCCAGGGCGACCTGTAATTCCTGGGCCGACCCGACGAGCTTCGTACCCCGGTCGAGCCGGTGGGGGAGGAGATTCCCACCTTCAGGCAAGGCCACGGAGCCTGGTGCTGTCCCAGACTCGTGTCTCTCCTCCCGGGTCTCCTGGTCCCCCCAGCTCTTCCCTAAACATTCGCCGTCCTGTCCTTCTGTCATTAACTCGCTAGCTCTCCAGACCCGCCCACTAGAAAGCGGAGGCTGCCTCCCCTCCCCTTGCAGTAGGGGGCACCTGGACACCCCACGACCACCCTCGCTGCCCCCTCCTGCTCGGCTCTTCCCGAGCGTGCGGTAAACCCTGGCTTCCCTCCAGTCACGAAGGAAACACCGCTCTGTAGCACTGAGCTACTTCCCGCCGCAGCCTTGAAAGCCGCCCCTGCTTCTCAGCCCCGCTCACCCCGCATCAGTCGCCAGCTCGACAGCAGGGCAAATTCTGCACTTGGCAAATCCCACAGCCACAGCCTTCCCGGACCCGTCACACTTGAGGGCCTCAGTGGAACCCTCCCTTAGTGCTTGCCTGATTCCCTTTTCTCCCCCAGGAGCCCCTCTCGGCCCATGAGCCCCCCACCCAGGTCTCCCACGTCAGCTGCGTCCAGGTAGGAGGCTCCCCAGAGCACTTCCGAGGCACCCAGACTCCACATTTCCGGCATTCAGTCTCCTCTCCTCCCTGGTGATGTCCCCGTGGCCGTGCACACCCAGTCACAGCCAAGTGAGGACCCCGGCAGCCATCCAGGAGGCCTTCCTCTACTGCTCTGCTCCTCCCACCCAACCCCCAGGTCCCTGGTTTCCCCACCCTCCGCGTTGCTGTGAGCAGTCCCCCTGGATGACCAGGGTGGCCCCCACGTCCACTCCTTGGCCACTGGGACCCTCCAGCCGTGGCTCTCCTACCGTCACTTCGTGCACGGCTCCCTCCGGCCTCCTCCTAGCTGCAGGTGCCTGCGGGGCCTGCACCAGGCTGTCCTTCCTCCTGTGCTGAGCTTGTCCACCTCTGACCTCTCCACAGCTCTGCTAAGTCAGCACCTTTTGGGAGCCTGTGCTAACGTGGCCCGTGACAGCCGCCTTCTTTCTTATTCATGAGTTTCCTGTCCGCCTTCCTCCCTGGACAGAGACCGAAGTTACCCAGCTTGGTGTCCCACACCCACAGTATCCAGCGCACAGTAGGTGCACAGAGTTAGCCCTGAGTTTGCAGATGAGGCAACTCAGGCGCTCAGAGTCTAATAAGGGCACAGAGCAGTGGAGCTGGGCCTCGAACTCCAGGTTCCTATCCTGAGACCCACACGGCCCTTGGGCTGCATGCCTGCTGTCCTTGCCGGTGGGCACGGCCACTGATCTGGCCCCGCCGTGGTCAGCAGCTGTCTACGGGCACCTGTGTACCATGGGGTGGGATGGGGGCAAGCGAGGCTCCTGACCTCGGGGCTTAACAATGTGGGGCAGGAGGCCAGCTAGAGCCCCAGAGGCCATCCTCGGGATGGGAACGAGGCCCAGGGTGGGTGCTGGGTCCACGGGAGTTCACACCCCTCCAAAACAAACTGAAAATGGAAAGGTGCAAAACCAGGCCCCCTTACTGTCACCCCAGCCAAGTGTGGCCAGAGAGGGCCCTGGGCGCCCACTCTCTGCCTGCAGGCTGCTCACTCACTTCCTGCTCAAAAAGAATTCACGTCCTCTTTGACACCAAGCACGTACTTTACCGTGAACAGCCTCCTCGTGGTGGGGCCCCAGGCAGATCTTCAAAGGGCTCCGCTGAGAGAAGACTGTCAGCTTAATGGGCTGAAGGGCTCCGCCACGAAGAAGCCAGCGGTCACTGGAGAAATCCCCATCCTTCCCCCTCCAACAGAGGTGGCCCGGGCAGACCTATGGCGGAGGGAGGCGGGTCCCTGGCGATGGATGCCACACGCGGTGCGGCCCAGGCGGGCAAGATGTGCTGGCAGTCGGAAAGGATGCTGGGCAGGGGGCTTCTGTGGCCTTGAGAGAGTCCAGCGAAGGGGTACAGCGGCCACCGTCTGCTTTCCGCCAGCCTCGTGAGCAGGGCTGTGTTGACCAGGCTGGGCAGCTGCCCCCCCAGAGTGGACAGCCTGGGGTCAGAGGGGCCACGCCAGACCATCGCCCCATCCCTCGCTCAGTTGTGGGACAGCTGTGACCAGAGAGACCCCACACACAGCCTGGGGCTGTGTCTGTTCAGAAATTGGCGGTGGACAAACCGAACCCCTGCCTTGAGAGCCCTCCCACCACCAGAGCCCCTAGACTCACTCCTGCAGGAAAACCACACACAGCGCTCCCATCAGCCCTCCCTGGAGGGGACTCTCAGCACGCACACCGCCATCGGTGTCCTCGCAGGAGAGGAAGGGCCTACTCCCTGCCTCCGATCACCTTCCTCGGGACCCGCGGGAGCCAGGAGGGGCCGTGGTCAGCACTCCCGTGTGACAGGCGCAGAAACTAAGGCACAGACGTTAGGAAACTGGCCCAATACCGTCCGCTATTCAGTAACAAAGCACAAAAACCCAGTGTGCTTCCCCAGCAACCGTGTTGGAGTGTGCCCATGCCCAGTCCTTGTGTGTGCCCACGGGTTCTGGCTGGCGTGCCCCGCAAGGACAGCTGCTGGGGTTACTTGGGACTGTCCTGTGGTGGCACTCAGCGGTGCCTGTGCACCAGGGAGAGCAAGCTGGAAGACAGAGGAAGGGGGCTGCGGGTCCCAGAGCGTGCGAGGGCCAGGTCAGCTCCTGAGAGACCTCGCCGGGGCCGGATCCCGGGGAGGAGCCGGGCGGCTACGCCACAACAGCTACTCTTGGACTGCTGTCGACAACATGCTTCTGGAAAGAGTTGCTGGCGAGTCAAACTCTCCTAGAAGGTGAGCTGTTACAGAAATATATTCACATATCAAGAGTTTGAAAAGGTTGCTTTTAATGCTTATTGGTACCTCCGCGTTAAAAAGTAACTACAATCGTCTCATTAAAGTTTCCACGTTAAATGCACAACTTTACCTCGTTATAAGGAATTGTTACAGAAAATGCCGATACCGGTATCCGAGACATACATTCCATCACACGGGCTGCGGATGGGAGTGTCGTGGTCCCACACACGGAGCCGTCCTCCCACACTGAGCGCCACCCCGAACGGCCTGGAAACCGAGGCGCACCTCCAGCCCAAACGTGCACCTCCAGCCTCCGTCCCTCCCTTGGTGTCACACGGGTGTCACGGGAACAGCCAGCCGCACACACCTGCCCAAAGAGGACAAGTCACGGGGTCAAGTGGTTTGGACCCCCCCCCCCGCCCCCGCTAAAGAAAGCCAACGTTGTCGCGACAGGCCGCACGTTATTTATGCCACATAGAAGAGGCACCGTACAGGCGACGAGCTTCCAAAGACAGTCTCTCAGGCATCTGACGACCCCGGGTAATTTAGCACGTGCTGAGCGCGTCTCGGCAAGCAATCCGCTCTTCGCCGAACTGCTCCCACACGACGGGAACGTCTCCGCGGCCGGGGTCGCTTCAGATTAGGGGGTCCCGTGCCCAGTCCTCCTGGGGCTCGTCCTGAGGGCAGCAATCCCAGTCGTGGGAGAAGCTGTGCCAGGGGCTCCTTTGGTCCCCGTCGTGACGGCGTCACACTCACCTGCGTTGGCTCCTGTCACCTAGGGGCCCGGTGCGCCTCTCAGGCCTGAGCATTTACGTCGTCGACAGTGTTCTTTCTCTCCCGTCGAGCGGCCCAGATGGAGATGACAGCCCTCCCCTCCCTAGGCTCTCCCCCACTCCACGCCTCTGGACAAGGTCAGCGCAACTCCGTTCAGCGTAACAGGCAGGGGGCACGAGTGTGCGGTGGTCGTGAACGCACCGGCCCACTGGGCTCCTCGCAGGGCCCCCGGGCAGGGAGAGGAGTGGACACGGCCAGGGCTGAGGTAGAGGGCGGGCGGTCACGGGGACCCCACTCCTGGAGAGGGTTCGGCAGGCGACCTGAGCGGTCTGGTCCAGCCTCGACCAGCCTGGGGACTGGGGTTGACCGAGTGCGGGCAGCAAACTGCAAACGGAACTCGTGTTCTAGTCCATCATTCTGCGAGACACCACTACAAATCACAGAGAGCTAAAAACTCCTAGGTGTAGGCACTTAAGTTTGGTGGGGAACTCCCACGTTAGAGGATCACAGCAAGTCAGTTTAGCCGTTGGCCTTGCGCACAGCACGTGGCTTGCACTGCACACGGAAGTATTTAAAAAAGGGAAAGACGGCTACGAGTGCACAGTCCGGGAAGCCTGGCGATGAGCAGGAAGCAGTTAGAGCTAATTCACTGATGCACAAATTGCATTTCATGAGGTTTATTCTTCCCACTCTACTGTTTACAGTTGGCAATTTTCTGAATGGATAAAATTGAGACTTTGCTACTAGCATTTAAGCTATGGGTGAAACTGTCACAAAGAGCTAGGCAGTTCTGTAGCGTGTGAGGTCCCAGCCTGGGCAGTGACGAGGGCGTCCCACGGCCAGCCACCACAGGACGTGCTGCATGCGGCCAGCGAGCACCCCAACACTGTGGGCAGGCCGCCCCCGTGTACCACGCGAGGACGCCCCTGAAGCCAGTGCAGGACTCCCCAAGCGTCCCCCCACGTCTCTGCTCAGCACCACAGCCGCCCCTGGACTCCGTGCAGGAACGGAAGCTTCACGTCGCACATTTTCGGCACAACTTTAAGATTTTATGTGCAATCGGAGGCGAGACTGTTACTGGGACTGGGAACAGTAGGGCGGGGGCGAGACAACCGGCCACGCCCCGACTGACTCTCCACCGTGAACGTGGAAAGAGCAGGTGTAAACGTACCGAGCACCTCGACTCGCATCGGAAGCATAACTATCTTACTTTCCAACTAAGGAGTCAAGCCACCTGCCT